TTACGGTACCAATAAAATCACTTTCTATTCACATACTTGTAATCTCACTGTTAGAACTATTGTAACAACTTGTACAAGTTACATTACGGTACCATTAAAATCACTTTCTATTCACATACTTATAATCTCACTGTTAGAACTATTGTGTTAATGACATGTACGAGGTCAGGCCTCCACATCCGAGAGGCATCGTCACACTGACGCTCTTAGTTCCTATAAAATAGGTTTTTCTAGGGCTTATTACAGTCCTGATCAAGTCTGTCATGATGCTTGCTGTTCACACAATGAGCTGTTGTTTGTTTACACAGGACAAGCTCACAGATTGTATGACCCTTTCAAATTCGATTATGAGGAACCCACTTTGAGACTAATGATGTTTAGAGACAGCTTGAATGGGTAATGAAGAAAAACTTTAATATAAGTTTAACATAACAGCAAATGTATAATGTTTCGACAAGGTTTTTGTACCTGATGACGATGACAAAACCTTGTTGAAACGTTGTACACTTGCTGTTATGTTAAACTTATATTAAAGCTTTTTTTCATAACCCATTCAAGCCGTCTCCAGCCATTATTTGTGTGACCCTGTCGGCTGCTACAATTCCAGTGCTTTAATTTCAATTGTTCTAGACTAGCAATCCTACACACACACAGTAATAACATATGTTTTAACTCTATTGTTGTATTATATAGACATCCAATATTTGTAACCGAGAATCTAATTCAGTGTTTTAAAATTTATATTACAAAACTAAGGAGACCTGAAACAAATCCTTCTTAACAGGTCAGTGGAATGTGTAATAAAGGAAACTTGAAACAAATCCTTCTTAACAGGTCAGTGGAATGTGTAAAAAAGGAGACTTGAAACAAATCCTTCTTAACAGATCAGTGGAATGTGTAAAAAAGGAGACTTGAAACAAATCCTTCTTAACAGGTCAGTGGAATGTGTAAAAAAGGAGACTTGAAACAAATCCTTCTTAACAGGTCGGTGGAATGTGCAAAAAAGGAGACTTGAAACAAATCCTTCTTAACAGATCAGTGGAATGTGCAAAAAAGGAAACTTGAAACAAATCCTTCTTAACAGATCAGTGGAATGTGCAAAAAAGGAAACTTGAAACAAATCCTTCTTAAC